CTTGAAATCCTCGGTTTCATTTTTAAAAAACTTCCCCGAACCAATTCGATCGATCGAATTGAGACCTCAGATCGATCGAACTGAAATGATCTCACTTTGAAATTTTTTTTTTTTTTTAAATTAAAAATTAAGAACTGAAAATTAAAAATTGAAAATAAAAGTTTTTTTTTTGGATTTTTGAAGAATTAAAATAAAATAAAATCTTTTTGGGATTTTTGGAAAATAAAATAAAATAAAAATATTTTTGGAATTTTAAAAAAAAATTAAAAAGTCAAAACAAAGTCAAAGATGGTGAGATGAAGAACAGAGATTGATCTGACAAAAAGCAAAAATATGCAGGTTTTGGATTCAAAAATTTTTCTAAGTCTTGGAACTCAAGATCGATCGAACTTTAAGTTTGGATCGATCGAAAAAGTTATGATCGATTTGAGAACAAGTTCGAACAATGGGACAAAGAGGTGATTTGGATGCAGGTGCATGCAGGTCGAAAATTTTCTAAGTGTTGGATGCAGGTTGAAGTTTGATCGATCAAACTCTCATCTGAGATCGATCGAACTCTCATCTGAGATCGATCGAATTTATGCAATCCTAATCACAGTTCCTAGCAATGCATATGAACCAAAAACAAGTATCTAGACTTCGCAAGAAATGAAATTAAAGATAGAAATGAGGGGGGGGGGAATAGGGTTTCGACACCCTACAAAATGTCATGCTAGTCTTTAACATCTCTAGCAAGACGTTGGGCTCTTATAGCCCAAATCAAACATCTTGTAGTGCATCCCCTCCTCAATGGGGTGATAAGTGCTTTGAACTCCACCCAACAAATGGTTCTTTAAGGAACTTATTGGATTAAGCTCAAAAGACATTTTCGGTCCTTGGTCAATGCAATCTTTGGGCTTCCACATCCTTTCAAAACAAGATTTTGAAACAACTTTCTTTGGTTCCAAGGTTGAATATGGACTTTTTGAAACCTTGGTCTCACGCAAAAACTCAATTCCTTCACTTTTAAGGTTATGACAATTTTTTACAACATTAATCTCTTCATGTTTGTCAAATGAATTGGGGGTTGGATTAAAAATATTCAACTTTACCTTCATGTGGCCAAATGAGATCTTCATTATCCCCATCCTACAATTAATGTTGGCATTCGCGGTTTCCAAGAAAGGACGGCCAAGGATAACGGGAATTTGGCTCTTAGGATTTGGAACCGGTTCCGTGTCAATGACAACGAAATCAACGGGAAAGAAGAATTTATCAATTTTAATTAATACGTCCTCGATGATACCCCTAGGATTTTTGATTGATCGGTCGGCAAGTTGCAAAACTACTGACGTTGGTTTTAAGTCTCCTAAGCCTAATTTGACATATACCAAGTATGGAAGAAGATTAACACTAGCTCCTAGGTCAAGAAGAGCCCGATTAATAAAATGATCACTAATGATGCATGAAGTGATAAGTGAACCGGGGTCCTTAAACTTGGGGAGAGTGTTATACTGCAAAATTGAGCTCACTTGCTCGGTTAAGACCACTTTTCTAAGTGCTTGGCTTTTGTTCTTTCGCTTTTGGGTGCACACGTCTTTCAAGAATTTGGCATAAGCCGGAATTTACTTGATTGCATCCAAAAGTGGAAGATTGACTTTCACTTGCCTAAACACGTCCATGATTTCATTGATTTTAGACTTTTGCTTGTCATTTGAAATGGATCCTTTTAAGGCATCCAGAAATGGAGCTTTTGGTTCAAAAACCTTTTCAAAATTTTTCCTTGAAGTCTCTTCAACACAAGAAGTTTTCAAATCATTTTGCAAATCTTTCTTTTCAAAATCACTTTTCAAATCACTTTTCAACACATTCTCATTTATTTGGTCATGCACATCCAATGAAGGAGGAATATGATATGAAACGGGACGGGGTGTCAACTTGTGGTTGCACCGGTTCACTCTCTTCATTGGACACACTCACTTGGTTATATCCACAATCTTTCCACTTCTCAAGGTAGTCACCGCATTGACATGCTCTATTGTGTGACCTTCTGATGAGGAATGAGTCTCCACAACACATTCTTGCTTTTGCGGGGCATTCAAAGGCATTTTTTTCCTTCTCTCTTGCATTCAAAGTGCTAGCTATTTGCCCAACTTGAGTTTCTAGCTTTGTAATGGATTAAGAGTGAGAATGAAGTAATTGTGTATTTGCCTCTAAAGTGCCCAAAGCGGTCAAAACTTTCTCTTCAAAAGCGAGACTTCTAACATTTCCTTGGGAATATGATGGTTGATTAGGAAAATGAGAATTTGAAAATTGGTTCCCTTGTGATTGATATGATGATCTAAAACCTTGAGAACCTTGGCCTTGCATTGGAGGTGGAATGTACTTTCCTTGAAAACCACCTTGGGAAGGGTTTGAGCCCTCCCCTTGGTTTTTCCAAGAGAAATTCGGGTGATTCCTCTAACTAGGATTGTAATGATTTTCATAAGGATTGTTCCCTTAATTAGTAAAAACAGCATTTGCTTGTTTATGACGCTCACTTTGCACATGTCCATGGGGACAATTGGAAGTAAAATGTAAAACACTTGAACAAGTCATACATGTCTCATTAGATGCATGATGAGAATGGTTAGCGAAGGAAGATACTTGATTCACCGAGTTTTGGTTGATCAAAAATTGATCAAACCTTTGAGATAATGATTTCATTTCGACGGCAATTTCATTGGAGTGGTTGACTTGATGTAAGCCAACACTCTTCCTACCACTAAAATTTCTACCATTCTTTAAAGATAAAGTACGATGCAAAGAGTTTTCACTTATGCTCTCATAAAAACACCACACGTCATCCTCATGCCTATCAATGTAAGAGCCACCCATGGAAGCATCAACCATGCCTTTGTAAATATCCGATAAGCTCTCAAAGAAATATTAAACTAATTGCCATTTGAGCATGTCATGATGTGGACACTTCCTAAGCAATTCATTAAAGCGTTCCCATGCCTCATGAAATGTTTCTCCATCCCCATGTGAAAATTCTCGAATTAAGGTTCTCATGGCATTGGTCTTAGAAACCGGATAGTACTTCTTTAAGAACTCTTGTTGCATTTTCGCCCAAGAAGTTATTGAAAAAGGCCTAAAATTGTTAAACCAATATTTTGCCTTGTCTTTAGGGTGAATGAAAAAAGTTTAAGCCTTAAGACCTCTTCCGACATGTCCGTATATTTTACAGTGGAACATACTTCAAGAAACTCATCCAAATGCTTATAAGGTTCTTCACTTGGAAGTCCATAATAATTAGGAAGCATTTGAATGGTTTGTGGCTTGATTTCATAGTGGTGTGCTCTAAATGGCGGCAATTGAATGCATGTGGGTGCATTATATTCATTAGGCACATAGTGATCTCTTAAAGCAAGGGAAGGATTAGCAATTGGAGGTGCAACATGGGCACCTTGGTTACCTTGAATGATGGGAGGTGGTCAAGGATAGATTAGCCTTGGCATTTCCAATGAAACTTGGCCTTGTTGTTGTGATGGGTGAACAAATGGCTTTGGTATGCCTAATGGAACTTGCATGTTATCATGATGCACATTAGGGTGGAGAATACCTTGTTAGTCTATGTAACCAAGGTCCTCCACATGGTCCTCATTATGTCCTTCCATTGATGAAATGGATTGACTAGAACTACCTCTTCCCTGAGGTTTCGAACAATGGATTCAAGATAAAAAATTTAAAGGGACAAGAGTGCGTCTCAATGATCTACGACCATGCATGCACAATGCAACACAACAAGCAATAATAACAAACACTTCACCTTCACAACAAATCAACAATTAACAAACTTTCTCCACATTCAATGTTCTCATACTCCCATGCTTTAACAAAATGCAAGAAAAGTAAATTGCCTCCACGCGGGCTCACGATTTATCTAAGAATTAAAATACTAGCCTCCACGCGGGCCGACAACTTAACTAATGGATGAGTAAAGAAAAGCTCACAAAGGTCTTTAGCACTTCAACTCTAAATTTTTAGCTTAGCTTAGCAATTTTTTAGATTTTTAGCATTTTTCCTTGTTTACTTAGCTCCTTTGCTTGAATGTTCCTTTGCTTGCTTCCTAGCTCAATGCTTCTAGTCAAACAAGAACAAACACAATAAGTAACAAAAATTGAAAACAAAGTAAAGACATGATCAAAAGAGTACTAATTCCTAATTGATTCCACAAATACGACGTTGCCAATCAATCAATCCCCGGCAACGGCGCCAAAAACTTGGTGTGTCGTCAATTCAAACCCAAAGTTTATGTGCTTATGTGGCCAAGTTTTACATTTATAAATTGCCACTACTACCTTTCACTAAAAATATAGCTAGGGTGAGTAGGGATCGTCCCAAGGGATTGAGTGTCGTACTTAGTTGAGGAATCAAAATTAGGGTTAGTAGGTCGAGTGATCAAAATAGTGGTTGGTTGGTTGAATTATACTAGATGCAAATTAAACTAAAGTAAACAATAATGCAATAGAGAGAATAAAAGAGAGAGAGATCTTGGGGTTTAGAGATCACCATTAAGCATAGCTTTTCTACACCTTTAATGAAGAACATGTATTGTAACAAAGTTTGTGTGTGTGTCGTTGTTTCAATAAGCATGGATGACAAATTAAGCATATATTGTCTAAATAATATGGTGGATAACACAACATATCAAATTAAGCCATTAATCCTTTCTTTAAGCTCACAATCCAAACACATCACAAGGTTAGAGATAGATGTTACTTGTTTTTCATAAGTATGGAACATCAACAACAAGTATGAATTGTCCTCCCATTTAACAACTATACTACAACTAAGTTAATGACATGAAATTAAGCTAATTAAACTAAGGGACAGGCACAATCCATCAAGTAATGAGTATGAACCATTAAATAAATCACAAGAACATGACATTAAGCACTATGTCTTGACAATCTCTAGATCTATAGCAACAACACACATAGACATGTATCAATAACACAAGAAATAGAGACAAACACATGAACATCTATTCTAGCATACATAGACATATGGATAGAATGAAATGATCAATTGGAAGCATTAAATCGCATAAATCATTGAATAAACAAGATCTATATATATAAAAGTGTCAAGACATGAATCACAATACAAATCCCCTCAAAAATACATAAATCAAGAAGTAGAAAGCATGCTTAGGGCTAACTCTAGCCCCAAGAGGATGTCTAGCCACTTATGGATGATGTCTTCCAACCCTCAAGGGTAAGCTCCATGGAAGAAATCTGCTCCTTGGTTGATGAAAAGTCTCCAATGGTGTCTCTAGCCTCCTCCTCTTCTTTTCTTCCTCCTTAAGAGTTCTACAAGATATGATATGATATGATGTGATACAATATGATATGATACAAAAAGTAATCCTTATCCTTATATAGGTAGGTCAAATGACACCCAAAATGAGCTAGGGTCGTAGAGCAAATATTCCCCAATAATTGGATAAGGGACAACTTTTTATGAGCTGAAAATTTAACTTTTTCGCACTAGAGGAAGTTCGATCGATCGAACCTTGGACTTGGATCAATCGAACATGGCTGAGATCTATCGAACTGAAGTTGGATCGATCCTCAATGGCGGCGCCTTTTTGGATAAAAACAAATCTGAGATATTTTGAAGATATTTTTGGGAAAAGGACAAAAGTGGTTGGTAGGGTGGCACAACTAGATAAGATCAATCATTTGGATAAGGACAAGAATGTTCGATCGATCATAGTAGGAAGTTGGATCGATCGAACTTTTGAGATCTTTGTACAAGGGCAAACATGGCTCAAATCCATCTTGAAGTGCTAAGATCGATGAAAGTTGGATCAATTGAACTTTTCTTAAAATCGATCGAAGTTGCTGAAATTCCACCCTTTGCTTCATTTTGCTCTACTTTGCTCCTTTCTTTGATTCATCCCAGAATTGCTTCAATTATGCTCTTATTTGGCTGAGTTAGCTTATTTTGGGGATAAGTATCTGAAAATGGAAATAACACGAAATCAATACAAAATGGTAAAATAAGATAGATAAAGATTCTAGAATACCTAAGCTAAAGGTGTTTAAATACACACTTTTCAGCGCTCATCAGTAGAGGAAGGGTAGCGACCCCTTCCTCGGCCAGCAAGTTCAGTTATTGGATAGGTAACTCGAGAATACCTAATCCACCGTGGACACGCCAGGTAGACGTTGGCCAGGTGTGCCTACTTTGCAGAGGTGGCGCCACTTAAACAGCTAACGTGGCGCGGTCATCAACACACTATTAATATATAACTTGTTTAAAAATATTTATATATATCTAAAAAAATTGAATCATCATTAGCCAAAGTTAAGCTTGAAATGTAACCAATTACATTTAAGCTTTGCTAAAAGTTTGTAAACTATTTAATTTTATGTAAAGGCTAACAAAACATTTGTCAAATGTGAAAGAAACTATCAAGTCCAAAGAGATTGCATAACCTCCAACCATGAAATCAGTTTGGTTAATGCCTGCAAAACAAATTTGGAAATCCTAATGATTTTCACGCCTATACAAATCTTTATGCGTATACTTGATGAAGACAACACAGACTACTTTTGTTATGCATAGGACCTGTGTAAGGATTCTATATGAATGAAACGAGAGAGAGCAATCCATCACGCTAACCCTTGTTTTAAACTAGTCAGATGATAACCACCATCAACTTCCCACAACCACGCTGCTGTAACTTCCCACAATGTGTAACGTTGTGTCAGACGCAGTGGATTATAATATAAATGTATTGTGGCAATATAGGCCACACATGTGTTATAAATATACGTGTCTAATATTCTCCCACTTGACCAATATTGACACGCATACTTTCCTTATAGGTTGAGAACTAAAACTTTATCTAAAGAATTTAAGTGTATAAAATCATGGCGGAAATCACACTCTATATATGAGTGTTACCTTCCATGTATCATTATATCACTTTCTTTCTTTAGATAAACATTTTTTTGTGGTAGTACTTTATAAATAGTATTTCAAGAAAAACTATTCAAGGAAGTGAACTTTATTGTCCCAATGGACTATCTGTAAGAATAAGCTCCCATAAGCCTATTCTGAGGTCCTACTTTATTATCCAAAAGGATAATTTGTCATTTATAAACTTTATGTATACTTCCTGAAAAAATGACAAATAAATACTAAGAATCATCAAAACATAAATGCAATTGCAAACTTTAAAGTGCCTTAGTAAATCAAACATAAGACATATCAATAAGTCCCATATGTCCTACATGTTCCTTATACAATTTGGGTGGCAAATCCTTTGTCATAGGATCTGCAACCATTGACCTTGTTCCTATGTAATCTACTAACACTTGATGATTCTGAATTTTTTCTTTAATAACAAGGAACTTTATGTCAATCCACCTATTTGAACTCCCACTTGCATTGTTGTTACAGAAACGAACCGCAGCGGAATTATCACAATAGATTCTCGATGGCCTAGATATAGAATCCACAACTTTAAGATATGTGATAAAATTCCGTAACCATAAGGCATGTCCTGTAGCCTCATGACGTGCTACGTACTCCGCCTCCATAGTAGAGGAAGTAATTGATTTCTGTTTTAAGCTTTTCCACGAGATAGCTCCTCCTGAAAAAAGGAATACATATCCTGATGTTGACTTTCTTGAGTCAATGCATCCTCCAAAATTAGAATCAGAATATTCAACCACTTCCAAAAGATCTGATCTTTTGTATGTCAGCATGTAATCCTTTATCCCTTGTAGATATCGCATCACTTTCTTTACAGCTCGCCAATAATCCATTCCTGGATTACTTTGGTATCTGCCTAACATTCTTACTGCAAATGCAATGTTTGGTCTAGTGCATACTTGCACATACATTAGACATCCTACTGCAGATGCATAAGGAATGACTTCCATCTCTTCCCTTTCCCAATCATTTCTTGGGCACTGATTTAGACTGAATTTGTCACCCTTGACAATAGGAGCAACACTTGAAGCACAACCCAACATTCGAAATCTCTTTAAAACATTATTGATATAGGCCTTTTGGGATAATCCAATCAATCTTTAGGATCTATCCCTATAAATTTCTATGCCAATGACATAGGATGCTTCACCTATATCTTTCATATTAAAATTTCTAGAGAGAAATTCTTTAACTTCATGTAGCAACCCTAAGTCGCTACTGGCAAGCAAAATATCATCCACATATAGGATCAAAAGAATGAACTTTCTCCCACTAACCTTAAGGTATATACATTAATCAACGATGTTCTCTTTAACTCAAAAGAAGAGATAACATCATGAAATTTGTAATACCACTAACGTGAAGCTTGTTTCAACCTATATATGGATTTCTTGAGTTTGCAAACCATATTGTTTTCTTTATCTGAATGAAAACCTTCAGGTTATTTCATGTATACCTCCTCATTCAAGTGCCGTTTCACATCCATTTGATGTAACTCTAAATCAAAATAAGCTACCAATGCCATGATAATACGAAGAGAATCCTTTATAGAAACGAGAGAAAATGTATCATGGTAATTAATGCCTTCCCTTTGGGTATACCCTTTGGCTACAAGTCTGGCTTTATATCATTCAATCTTGCCTTTTGAGTCTCTTTTAGTCTTATAGACCCATTTACAGCCAACTGCATTAGCCCCTTTTGGCAATTGAACCAAATCCCAGACTTGATTTTTAGCCATAGAGTCAAGTTCCTCTAACATGGCATCATACCATAACCTTGAATTTTCTCCACTCATGGCTTGTGAAAACGTAATTGGGTCTTTAGGACCTTCTTAACTCTATATGTTTATTTAGAATAGGTTCATTGACAACAGGATTCTCGTGGATAGGAACTTCTTGATTTACCTATTTTTCCATAATAACATTTTAAGAAATGTCTTGAAGTACAGGTAAATGTTCTTTAGTCACAGGTCTAACAACCAATGTCAACATCCTCAAGAGTAGGTGTTCAGGGACCAGAAGGTATTGAAATAGTTCCATTGTGCTTCTCATGGCACTTTAAAATACCAATTAATCCTTAAATTCATTACAAAGAATAAAGTGCTAATCATAATTTATAAATGCAAAAAAAAGATAAGTTCAACGTCATTTCATTCAGTCCTGACATCTATTGTGCGCAAAATGTCAAAATCTCGTTTCCAATACTATGTAACTGGAATCAATTTAAATTCCATGGAGCAAACAAAGGAAAAAAACTAATTCCCATTCCCAATTGTCTTTATCATATACCAATCATAACCTTATAGATATAGGCAGTAACAATATCATGCACATGCATATAAAACACAACTCATATAACTTGGAGACCAACACAATGTAATATATATTGATCCTAAAAACCGATGCAATAGTACGTAGATACAGAAATTACATGAATACTGAGGGTATTCTTATATTATCAGTTAAGATGGCATAACAACAAAAACTGAGTGAGACTAACCGGAAAAAAAAAAAAAAAAAAAAAAATGAAGATAAAATGAAAAGAAGAATCAGGAAAGTTGTGCAGCTTATAATTTTCTAAGTAATATTTGCTCTTAGTTATATCATCGCTTATCAAGGAAACACAGAAAATATACCAAATTCTTTGAATTTATAACAAGCCTGAATTTAAGAGAACCTACTGTCAGCGGGCTCCATTGATAACAAACCTGCAACATTTTCTGCTAAAGCATCCAAACCCTCCAAATCATCATGAGCATTTTCCGAAAGGTCATTTACGTCAAACCCTAAATTAAATCATGCAAGAATTCATATAATATTTATTAGCAGGACAAACAGCAGAATTTTGGTTCCAAACATATGTAACACATCAAGTTTTACTTCAGGATTATAACACAATTTTCCCTCTTATAGTGAAAGTTCATAAAAAGGAAGATAATAATTTTTTTTTTTTTTTGTTTTTTTTTTTTTTTTTGCCCTCTTTCTGTAAAATTCAAAATCGAACCCAACTACTTTAATTACAGTACCAAATTGTACGACTTCTAACTCAGGATTGCAACAACCATTATAAATCAAAAGGAAAATAATGCAAGTTTCTCAAAGGAATAAAACTTACAATCAGTTGAGGGAAAACCACCAAATAATGTTATTGGTTGAGAAGGAGCAGTTGGGCAGATCCATTTAATCTGCATCAAATATATTTAACCAAAATACGTTGTGATTCTATAAATGAAAATGATGTCCTTTTTCTATTGCAAATCAGACAAACACTTAATATAATTGCTTATATATGAAACGATCTCAAAATATCCTTACATTTGGAAAAGGGAGAGTCTCCAAGACATAATCGAACAACTCCGAACTGAAGAACACTTGTAATCACACTAAAACGAATGTTTTAGGGCTTCAAAGGACTAACACTATTATCACCTGACCTTCTTCTTCAATATCGCAGGAGATATGTTTGGGTCGCTTCCAAAATCGCCAGACCTAGGGTTTCAGAGGGGAGAGAAATTTTCGGGTCAAAATGAAGCAAAATGTTGCAAGTCAGATTTTGTACGTGTTTCCTCCGCTACAGTGATTGGCGTAAGTTGTTTCTTCCACTACAGTGATTGTATTGGGCATACAGTACTAAAACAGGGTAAAACACCATTTTGGTGTTTCACTTTTTGGCCCAATTTTTGACAATGTTTTGTTACTGTTTCAAACAAAATAATAACTACCAAACATGTTTTGGGCCAGAAATGAGCTACTGTAGCAGCCCTACAACAAAAACACTTGAAACAAAACAACTACCAAACAGGGCCTTATGCTTGCAGTTGTGTTTGTTTTTATTTTTAATGTTGTGTTGGACTATACAGGTGATTATTGCAAACAACTTATAAATAGGTTATTGCAAAAATGGAATATATATATATATATATATATATATATATATATATATATGTTTGTGTGTTCAAATTCCTCCATATCTATTAAAAATATGATGACTATTTATATAGAAATAAATTTATAAATATACTTAAAATTTATAAAAACAAACTAAAAACATTGATAATCAAACATGTTTTTTTGTTTTTGTTATATTTTTTTTGGCAACAGTTGTAATGACCAAACATGTTATGTTTTCACAATTCTTGAAACGCATAACCTACCAAACATGCTTTGCATATTTCTGTTTTCGATATTTTCACAGCAAAATATCTTTCCCAAACGTACTTTCGATTTTCTTCTAAAACACTCCACAACAAAAATATTATTTCTGTTTTAGCCAAAAACAAAACGCCTAAAACAAAGTGCATGCCAAACGGGCTCTTAAATTTTTACCTATTGATTGCGAAAACAATTTAACAAGTCTCAAGTTTGAATTTTGATCAAGAGAATGTGATAAAAATATCATATTATTTGAGATTATATGGGATAAAAGTATGATATGCAGCAAAAATTGTGGTCATTTTAGATTATAAAAAATATCATGTAAAAATTAATAAATTGAATACAAATTCTTCTTCTTTCCATTCCACGCACAAGAAGAAGAAGCGACGAGGACCATGGAATTTAAAAAAAAAATAAAATAAAATAAAATAACCAGGGGTACGCTAGAAATCTAAGAAAAGAAAGAGGGTTATTTGTAATTTTTGGTCTATTTAAAAGCTGGGGTTGCACACTGAGACTCCAATTGCTTGTTTTGTTCTAGGGTTTGCTTCTGCAAAACGTTTTGAGCTTGCGATCGCTTCTCCCACACAGGCAATCACGCCATGGAAAGGCACAGAAAAAGCAGAAAAAGAGCAACCCTCCGTCACTCGAGCAATATCACTAATGAAGGCTCAACAGCAAGAGGCCACCAAAATCAACGAAAACAAAAACCAACAACAACATTGTTGGATCTTCCCTGTGCCATTGTGATGGACATTCTATCAGGACTCTCAACCACTACTCTCATAAGCTGCAGGTGCGTTTGTAAAACCTGGTTCAATTTACTCTCAGACCCTTTATTTACCAAGATTCGCCTTGCAAGACCCGACGTGAAGGATGTTGTCTTTCGTGCTAATGGATCTACCTACTTGCTTGAGCTTGAAGATGACTCCAACTTTGTTCATCGGCCTCACCGGCCACTGAAGATCAATCCCGGATTTGATCACTTAAAATTAATAGGTTCTTGTAATGGCTTGCTCTGTTTTTCGGATCGGTTTTCAAGGGAAACCCTTTACATATGCAATCCAATTTTGGGTGAATGTGTTCGTGTTCCCAAACGCGAAAGACTGAAACAAGACCCCTCTCAACCCATTGGTGACTTACATGTTTGGATTTAGTCCGGCCTCTGGACACTATAAGATAGTAAGATTACACAATGAATTCATTTATAGATTACACAATGAATTCATTTATCAAAAACAAGAAAGATTACACAATGAATTGGAGGCTGAGATTTATACTTTGGGAAGTGATACATGGAGAAAGATTGGGAATTTCCCGTTAGCCTATAATTTTGGAACTTCATTTTACATTACTTTGAATGGGGCTCTTCATTGGATCACCTCTAAAATTTCAAATGCTGAATTTGTATGTTCGTTTGATATTGGGGATGAACAAGTCCGCCTTATTCCAACACCTCCTGAAATTAAGGAGGAAAACAGCATGAGGTTGGGAGTTCTAGAAAATTGTCTTTGCATATTTCATCATTCCTGGTGTTATCTTGGTATATGGACAATGAAAGATTACGGAGTAACCGAGTCTTGGACTAAAGACTGGATTTTGACAACCTCAATGCCATCTCTCGTTAATCATCGTGATTCTGCCCCAATCGCACTTCTGAAAGATGGAAAGATCTTGTTTTTATGTATTCAAGGTCCTCTCACTTCTTATGATCCAAAAACAAGGAGTTTTACTAAACTACAGGTTGATACTGGAGCTCCTTTTGATCCAAAAACAAGGAGTTTCTCCGAACTCAAGGTTTATGATATCATATATGCAGTTGTTTATGTTTCGAGCCTTCTTTCACCTAAAGAAATGATGTCACATGCCCATAATGTTTAAGGGGTTTGAGGATTCTGAACGTCAGCAACTACCACTTGCAGTTCCATTGTTATGTTCCAATTCCACATTTTATGGTCTGTTTCATTGTTATCTACATCTAATTCGGTAGAGTTTACTTAATTAACAATGTTTTTAAAGACACTGCTTATATTATAAACTTGGTTTTGCCTATTCATCATGTGATTATACAGAGTGCGTACTGAACTTTAGAGCGAATCATTAGGTTAATGGGACATATGGAAACTCCATTGCCTTTGGGTTATTAATTATTGAGTAGCTCTTACAATTTGCAAATGTGGGATGAGCATATTGTGTTTTTGGTAACATTTTTCCTCTTACTTGATTGAAGTAGGGAAATTTGACGATCATTTTTTGTTGTTGTTGTTGTTTTGGTGCCTGTATATAATCATTCTTGGTTGCCTGCTTGTTTAAATCTTTTTTGTCTTTCGTGTAATTTTGAAATTGGCGATTCTGTTGATTTATTTGCTTCACAGCTACGAGGTTATTTTCTGTCATATGTTTTTTGATTGGAGCAAGAGGGAATGAAGGAATTTTCTCACTCATAAGTCATGGAAGCAAATCTCTGTTTGGATGCTCTCCAGAACGATGAACCCATAATGTTTTGTCTCTCTCTCTCAGAAAACAAGGTAGAACTTCAATTATGAAGCCATGGATATTAATGTTCTTTACTTTATTTTCCTTCTGAAAAATTTCCATTGAATGAGCCTTGAATGTTTACAGTTATTGTCCAATTTTTTTTATTTTATTGTATTATATTTGATTTGTTTTTGTGAATATCTTTCCCTATTGGAGATTAGTGAAACTTCATTGATGAAACTTTTTCATACCAACACAGCTTTGCTAGGTAGAGAAGGCTTCTCTCTTTAGTCATTAGTTCATTGCATTTTAGCCACCAAAGAGCTGAATGATTTCATTTTGTGTACTTCTTACAGTAAAGTTACCCAGCATTGAATATCTTGACTCCTCAATTATTAAAATTTGAAACAAAAATTAATAAGTTGATTGATAGTCTTGAAGTCAAGCCTCAACAAAGTTGGTTTGAATAGGTTATTGGACTAACGGAATAAAATTCTGGATTACTATTGGACTGGTGGAATAAGTTTTCATAACGACAGAATGTGATTCTGATGTTTATTAGTATTTTAATGGTAGAATAGGTTCATGTATCAATAGAATGTCTATTATCTTTTGTCCAGTGACCATACAGTTGTACTGGTAGAACATGCTTCTGGTATAAATTGAATTTAGTACATTGTACTGGTAAAACCTTACAATCTTCAACTAGGATTTTGAGTTTTGATATGTTTTAACTTCCAATCTTAATCAAAACACCTAGAGATGTCTTCTACACTTTTTGGATGAATTTTTCAGCTAAATAGAGGGCTTTCTATGCATAAAAACTCAGCTATAACGTCTTTCAATATAGAAGAGATTTCATTGAAAATCAGAGTGCTTTTTGAGAGAAAATTGGTTGATTTTTTGAATTTGGTTCTTTAAATCACGTTTTGACACTAGTGTGCTAGTAGTGTGTTTTTCATTCCTGATCATGTGATTTCGATTTATACTCCAAAGTATATTTAAAGCGATTTATACTCTAAAGAATATTTAAAGCGATTTATTCAGATTCTTTGCACTCTCTTGTGGAAGATAGTGTAATTGATCACTACGAGATGCGGATCATTGTGAGTTGATTGCATTGACACATCAGAGATGTTACTTGTGGCAACTTTGTGGCAGGTGTGTGTGAGCGCGTGCAGGTGGCACCGCACTAGATGGGCTGCAGATGCACAATTCCACATCGCCTGGGTGTGGATGGGGCAAGTGCTATACGTAGATTCAACACCCTTTTATGACAATACACGTTTTAAAGCCGTGATGGTCGTGAACCCACCAGAACTCCAAAGTTAAGTGTGCTTAACCTAAAGTAGTATTAAGATGGGTGACCCCCGAGAAGTCTCTGGTCCGGGGGAGCCAAAAGCGGATAATATTGTGTCTGGCTAGGGTCAAAAGACATTGGAGTAGGAGAACACTAAGCATAATCCACGATCGTTGATTCCAAAGGCACTGGAATCGGCGACTCATGGAGAACAGTTTCGAAGTACTGAAACTCGTTGTACTCTCTCTAGTTATACTGGATGGTATCCTTGAGACGACTAGTCTTCGTGGTTTTTAGTAGCTGAGTTTTTTCTCATTCTCGTACTCTTACCATATTGTTTTTGGTCTCGTTTGTGGTTTTTTAGTCGCTGAGGTTTTTCTCATTCTCGCACTCTTACCATACTGTTTTTGGTCTTGTTTGTGTTTGCTTTTGTGTTGCTTTCTTAAATCACTAAAATTGGACAAAATTTTAAAATCAATCAAAAAAAGTAAATGAAACCTCTAGGTCTTTCGAAATTGAGATATACATTACTGCCACTTTGTCCTCTGTGTCGGAACAAGTTACTCAAGAATATTGAGTTGATCTTGGTGGAAGTATTTTTAAAACTCATGAATCGGTACAACCTCCTCTGTTGATTGATGTGTCAAACTATACATATTGAAAAGTTTAGTATGAGAGTTTGTCTCGAGTCTCAAAATTCTGGAAAAATGAGTCACAAATCACAAAAAGTATCAATTAGATCTCCGGGCCTTGATGGACAGTTGGACGCTAAAACTTGTGGTGTATAGAGCAACTAAGAACTACAATGTACCAGTTAAGCTTTAATTCCATCTCCAATGCCTTGGACTTGCAGCATGTTTCTCTCTTTATAAATAGCTCTTGCATGGTTAGTTATTCTTATTAGATCAATTACTTCCAATCCTAACATGTCTTCTGAAGGATTTTTGGTATACGAGGCTTGTTGTGAGCTCATTTTTGTAGTGATCAAAGCTCAGAATACAAACATGTAAAGGAATTTGATTCCACAGCAAAAATAAATAAATAAATAAAATTTTAAATTTTAAAAAATGAAAGAAAGAAAGAGGGAATTCTTGTTTTTGTTGAAGTATCAACCTCTATGAATTAGGTCCTCTATGATTAGGTGTTTGACATCTTATTAGAATTCAGAAAATTCATGTGTGTATCTCTTAAACTATTCTTGGTTCCTGACACTGCAGAGAAAACGTTGCAATTTGACATCCATCCTTCACGCTCTAAACATGTCTCCTTTTGATGTTTTATAATCTATCTGGTTCCAGAAGAGGAGAGCCAAAACTAATTAAGAACCTTTGTTTCACAACGCATGATAAACTATTGCAGTTTACTAAAATTTTATTCTGCTAAATTTATGTATTCCATGAAGTCAAGCTAACGGAAAAGGGATTTCCCTTCCTCTTGAGAATTTAGAAAAAATGAATTGAAATAATAATTGACAGAGAGTAGAAAAACAACCCATCACTTGTGCATCGTCCTCATCCTCGTCATTGTACTCATTTTTCCAAGGGTAAATGTGGATCTTAAGTCCATCATATCCCATGCTTCGTTGCCATTTCTGAATTTGCAAGGCGGTGTGTGCTGTAGAGCTGCTACAATACCGGAGCTGAATCATTTCCAATGTAAAACTTTCATGTAAACCTGATGGGATCTCGTCCAGTTGTTCACAGGTATCTAAAACCAACGTCTGAAGGATGGGAAACTGACTGCTAGAAGCATTCCATTTCTTGATATCCAGGTATTGAAACTTCAAGAATTTGAGTTTGCGAAACAACCCATCACTCGTGTCCCAACTTAGTCCCTCTAAGGCGTTATATTTTAATTTAAGAACCTCAAGGTTAGGTAACCTTCCAAGGGTCGACATTTCCTCCCAAGATAGACGGAAATTTGACAAAGTTAAGCTTTTGAGATTTGGGGGAAACTCAGTTAGACAGGGACATCTTCCAAGATCTCTTTTGCATCCACCATAACTTATATTCAGAGTTTCAAGGTGAAATAGAAAATTCAATTTAGGAAAAATATCATTCGAACCCCTTGAGTCCACAAAAGAACATGTTAGTTTTCTTAGATTCGGAATCCATCGCAGAACTTGCTCATCTCCACCACAAAGATTTAGATTGCATATGGTCTGAAGGTCATCCAACATGAAGGGATAGTCATTATTGGGTACATGAGGGATTTCAATAAACCGCTTTGTATATAGATGCCTCAACTTCACCATCTTCCAAATATCATCTGAGAAAGATATACAACCTTTTTGTGCTCCTTCATCAATAAAGGTTTCTAGCTTCCATAGCTTTGATATTGATGGTTGAAAATATTCTTTGCCGACATGACATGATAAATACCTCAGGTGAATCAGCAATTGCAGTTCTTCAGGAAATGAGGAAATTTTAACGGATGATATATTTAACACCCTAAGAAGTTTGAAGGCTCCACAAAATGAAATAAGAGAAGACAGAGTTAACTCTGCAGTTGAAGAGAAAGAGCGAACCTCTGGATCACCATGCT